AAAAAAAAAAAAAAAGCAGTACTATCAGATAACACACAATATCAGTGAAGCAGCTAAACTATCCCAAGATATTAAAGAATTCAAAAATCAAACCTGTGCTCCTAAAATTTATAGCTGAACAACAATTATGTACCATTATTCAGAGGAAAAAAAAAAAGTAAATTTGTTCCAATGAAATTCGGATTTACTCATGGAGGCAAATTGGGTTAGACGATTAGAAAGTAAGAAATTACCTCTTTGGAACTTCTACCGTGACACCAAGGTCGTCGTGCCGGCTGATGATCGGAGACGGACCGTGGACTGCGCGCCGGAGGAGTGGTGGATAATTATGGTTCGTTCTTCTCCACTTTTTTTTGTGTTCGTGCTTTTTTTAGTTTGTCTTTTCGTGATTTATTTAAGTTTTTTTTTTTTTTTTNNNNTTTTTTTTTTTTTTATGTTTTCTCGCTTAACCCGATTGGAGATTCGGCCCATTGACTTATTCAAGGCACTTCATCTATTTGGGTCCATATTTTTCTCGGGGCGGCCCACGAGAGGCCATTAAATAAACCGTGTGATGATGTGAAGTTCACCATCAGATAGAGTTGTGAACGAACTGAACCGCGAATAAAAGCTTGATCAAGTTTGTTCGTGTTCGACAAAAGCTCGTTCGTTTGTCAATCAAGCCGAGTTCGAACAGTAAATTAGACTCGTTTAATAATTGAACGAACACGAGCTCGTTCGTGAACGTTGAATTATGTTCGCGAACATTAATTTAATATAATTTTATTATATTTTTATATGTTGACATAATATTTTTTTATAAAAAACTAAAACCTTAATATAATTTTATTCATTTTTGTATATATTTACATAATATTTTTAATAACAAAATCAAAATATAGAAATATTTTTATTTTATTCTTTTATTTTCGAGTTCGAACAAACAAATTTCGAGTTACTCAAACATATTTAAAAAAATTCATGTATTAAATTATTCGAACGCGAACAAATTCTAACGTTGACGAATAATTCAACGGACGAACTCGTACATGATTTTTTACTCGAAATATAAATGAACAAACACGAACATTGTTCGAACGTAAACGAACACAAGCTCAAACAACTCAATTTCGGTTCAGTTCGGTTCGTTTACCGCACTACCATCAGATATCTATTATTATATAAAGAGAGAACCCAAAAAACACTATAAATAGTAACTAAAAAATAATTAGGATTCCAGCTTAAAATTTAACTAAACATAGTAACTTTTTTTAAAAATTTTCAAAAATCCCGTTCAAGCATAATTTTAAGAATTTTCGGTCAAAAATTTAAATTCAAACATTTAAAAAAATGATTAACTATAGATTTTTTTGAGTATACCATCTTTATCTTATATGCTTGAATTTTAAAT